TTTTTATAAATATATATTTTTAGTTTTTTAAAATGTTTGCAAAAACTGCCAGAACAAGTCTTGATTTAAAGTAATTTAGTAATGACATTAAAAGCAGGCAAACATTCAGAGAACAACATGATTCATTGAATTTAAGTATTGGTTTGAACTTTTGTGTCTGTAATGAAACAATAATAAGCACACAAGCCTGCTTCAGTGTTCATATGCCCTTGTGCTTTCTGTTATCATTAGTCCTCTTCATATTATCCATTAAGAGAGTCCTTCTCTTCACTTTAATGTAAATGATGGGAGCTACAAACCCACAGTCCTTGTTTTGTGCTAAAATCCATTCCAGAGTTTGAGGCAGCAGAGCGAGACATTCAGTCACTTCATTTATCAACACTATGTGTTTTCTTGGGTCATTGCCTTACAAAAACAAGACTCTCTGCATCAAAGTATTTTTAAAGATGCAGGGAACTCACAATACATGTCGCCTAACACAGAGCCTTGAATCTGCCCAGTGGCTATGAAAGAAGCCCAGTTTTTTAGATCCCTAACCCTGCACTGAGGAGAGGCACATCTACAGCATTTCGGCCTTAGTCTTTTGGACAGCATAGTATTAAACATACAAAGTCTTAGATAAGTAGATATATTTTCTGCCCAGTTAATCATTTTGAGGAGACAAAGGGGATATTAATTAAAACTGTGCAACAATCGAAAATATTTTAAATTTAGAAGTGTATTTACCAACACTGAGGATGTAAATGAGCACAGCCAGAGCTGTGTTAATTTGAATACACCTCAGCTGGTAAGGACGTGCCTACTGCGCACAGGTGGACTCAGAGGGATAGTAGAAAAGAGAGTGTTTACTGCAACTCCACTACTTTAATATGGTTGAAAAAGTCCACAAGCATATTTGGCAGCTGCAGTCATGCAGTCATATGCCATTCAATTCGTCTTTTAGTTTGTTCAGTAACTGAAGCATGGGTCGACCTGTAATTCTGTAAAAGTCCCCCGTATTTTGCTCCTGAGAGTGATGCAATTTACAAATACCATCTCACCTCAAACATGTCCTTGACTCTGACGAGATCTCAGATGGCTAACAGAACAACAGAACAAATGGATTTAACAGCAAATTACTACTTTTAATGACTTGTACAGCCTTACAAAGTAACTCTGTTCTGTTGTTGTAGATAGCTCAGCTAATTTAGCTAGTTAGCTTGGTACCTAATGAGTTAAAGTGACCCAATGTTTTAGAGATAGTCAAAAGGTTGTAAAATGTGTTTTGACATATGTAGCTAATTTAAAAAAATTGCAAGTTACTACTATTGATTTGTTTTAGGTCCTTACAGAATATATGAAGATGTCACCACTCTCCTTCTTAATCCACTGATGGTAATCAGTACCCTTTTTATTTCAACAGTGTACAGTAACTCCAGTGTAAAACACAGTTTCTTTCAAGCCACTGGTGTCTTTGAGTTTTGCACAGTCTTAGATCTTAGCACAAAACACTGAGTTCTTGCTACAGTATGTTTGCGTTAGTATGGATGATGATGTCTGAGTTCACACTACAGTACGTCCTACATTTATACAAGACAAAATTATGATTGTCACCTCACTGCACTAGTTTACGGTAAATGTTTCTGTCTGTATTCAACATATCAAGCAGATATTTACATCACATTATACATTTGTCTTTCAGTAATGCAGCAATGATGGAACAATGTAAATCAACAACCTTGAGCCAACATCCATTTCTGTTGAAAAACATAAACCCAGCCAGTCTCTAAGATATTTAGGAAGCAGTCAGCTGGTAGAACTTCCAGTCAAAACCAAGCTACAGTTTGCACAAGTGTCCACTTGGCCTCAAGAATGAACAGATTAGATTTGTTGGTCAAAGGTCAAAGTCACAGTGACCTCAGAGCTGTCCCGTTCCTGTGAGTTTAACTATCTGGCAGAGGCATACAACAGCAAAGTGGCACCTCTCATTTTTGTTTTGTTAAGGAACTGACATTTCAGCCTGGTGTCACAGAAGGTTCAACCTTAAAATGAAATTTAAATCATTATATGTTTGTGTGTGTGTGTGTGTGTATTCAGGTGTCTGATGGGAGTTTGACAGTGCTATCCATCACGCGGGAGGATCGTGGGGCCTACACCTGTCGAGCCTTCAGTCCCCAGGGCGAGGCCATTCACACCACACGGCTGCTAGTACAAGGTAGGTACAAGTCTATGTGTTGCTGTGTGCTACTGTAACAAGCTTGAAGCAACTTCCATAAAGAAATAATTGGATGAAGAAACATTTAAACATTTGGTGGGTTTTTGCAGGTAAAGTTGTTTTTCTGTTATATTCGGCATCCTACATGTTTTCATCCTCAGAAAGCATCTGCTCACTGTTTCACTTCCTGCTATAATGTTTATTAATTTAGAACAGGGGTGGGCAATTAATTTTTACAAGGGGCCACATGAGAAACCTGAACTGTGTTGGAGGGCCGAACCAACGATAACTTGAACTTAATTCTGCTCAATATTCATTATCTCCCGTTGTAACAAGCAGTAAATTATATGTGTTGATTAGCTGCTACTGGTAATCAGAAGAATAAGCATATTCTATAAATATTTATATACACATATGAAATTGTGGTGTAGGTCAAACAGGAAAATACTCCTATAGAAGTAATAAACAGTAAAAACCAAAACAAACATTACATCACAGTTCCATTTTATTTTCTACTTCACATAACACTAAAAAGGTGTTTTGCAGTACGGTAAAGATGTGCATTTTCAGTTCATTTTACTTGTTCAGTGAGAGAAATCCAGTCTGGCTTGGGCTTGAACAAGTGCATCTTGGATCTTAAGTTCACCCGTGAACTTTTTTCATTCATGTTCTAATTTGATGGACCTCACGCGGGCCAGACAGGGACGCCCAAAGGGTCGGATGTGGCCCGCGGGCCGTAAAATGCCCAGGTCTGATCTAGAACATTCAGGTGTGTTAAAGCTTTTTCAGTTATCTGGGAAAAATCTCAATAATTCCACATGCATAGTCACAGGTTGACCCAGTTATCCATTCAAAGGAGCACAGAACTTAAACCAGTGTTTCCTTCTATTTCTGAGGAATTCTTTTGCTAATATTTTAATATTTCCATGTTGTCTAAATTATGTGGATGTTATAATTCCTGATAATATGATAAGATCTATTTATATTAACTGGCACTAGTGTCCTTATTTACCTAAAATCTATTTGTGAAGCCAGGATGATCTTTTGCAATATGTACAGTACGTTAATGTGATGTTGATTGCATAATAACATTGTTGGTTATAATGGATTGGCATTTGTGCCATTTGTATAATTTTCTAATCCCTGCTATTGAATGGGATGTTGTGTGTCCATTCAAGGTGTTTCAGTCATCTACTGGATTTTTGTGGTCCTCACATTGGATCATTGGGTCAACATTTGTGTATACAGCAGCTTCAGAATTTTTCAGACCCCTGCACTTGTTGCACATTTTATTTTCTTTTTCTTTTTAAATCAATAAAACAGATTTTTGCCCATCAGTTGAAACATGTTTTTAGAAATGATTGCACATTTATTAAAAATCAAAACTGAAATCTTCTATTTCCAAAAGCACTCACAGCCTTTGCTGTGGTGCTCCAAACTGTGGTCAGGTGCATCCCGTTTGCTTCACTTCTCCTTGAAATGTGTCTAGAACTTGACTGGAGTCCACCTGTGGTAAACTGAATTGATTGGGCTTCGTTTAGAAAGGCACACACCTGTGTATATTAGGTCCCACAGTTCACACAAAAACCAAGCTGTGAAGTCCAAGGAACCCAGAGCACTTCCATTATTAAATTTTGTGGTGAGCTTCAGAAGACTAGAGACTATACAGTAATGCTTTATGTTCCCAACTGATGGAAAGAGATTTAATTCTTTTTTTGTCACATTTTAGAAGTTTGCCTGATATTCAGTAGTGTTCTCATTATACAGTCATGTACACAACTTTTAACTTTTTGGTTGGTATGCATGTGATACAGAAGATTAATGCTTTGAGAGATACTGTAATCGAATATTTTAATAAGCCAGTGCTGTTGTTGCAATTTAACAATTATATGTATATTGTTACGTACATATTCTGTATTATCTGCATATTTTAGATTTGTTGGTATGTTGATTTTGATATCAGCTTTTCTTGAAAGAACAATTTATAAATTTTGCTGAAACGATCTGGTTGTATACTTTAACTTGATCTGGTATAATGTTCACCGTGCTGTTGAAAACTCAGGTGAACATCTGTAGTACAAAAAGATTTAAACAATCTTGGAGCTGTGTTCTATTTCACAGGGGTCTAGTAATTCACCACAATATGGACTGATATGTGCTACAGTACTGTATGTGGGAGGAATGCAGTATCAGCAAATGGAGCAAGACAGACTTCGGTAATGGCACATCAGCTCTCTTCATCCCTTCTAAAAAACAGCAGGCAGTTTTAATGAGCTGGGTCGAGAGTCTAGGGCAGCTTTGCTGAAGAAAACCATTCTTGTGCCTGAGGTGCAGAGTCATGGAACAGATACAAATATAATATACAAATATGATTTTGGGGGCACACAGTGTTGAACCAGCATTTAATGATGAACCAGGCGTGTTATTACTGACATGAAACAATTTTAAAAGACTAGGCTACAGTCAAATGCAATGACTGGATCCAAGTGTAGAGTACACAACAAACACCTAGTTATGGTCTCAACATTTTACAACTTTTTGTGGATAAAGAAAAAAAAATGAAGTAGCAACAAGTAAAGACTGCTGGCAGGATGGGCAGCAAACTAATTGATTGGCCTCAAACAAAGAGACATGAACTAACTGACTAAATGCTTTTTGGATAAAACCACCCAGGCCTGTAGCACAAAGCGTTAACGTTGGTGTCTCAGAGATTCAGCAACCAGGCCCTGGAACAACAAAACATATATAGTGAACTTGACAGGTGATGAAAATCATCAGGTTTATTAGTCAAGGCACACTATTGGCCATTTATCCCTACCACCTGGACTTTTCCCTGCCAGTGTGAGTGCTGGGCAGACCTTAGGGCCACCTCAATTTCAGCTCCATGGACAGCACTTGTGACAATAGGGGCATAGTTTTAAGATGGAGTGGGCTGGAAGAGTAGCAGTAGAGAGAGAGAGAGAACTAGCTGTTGTTTCTGTGATCCAAGATGAATGGATCAGAATTCTGTATGTGCTCTTGTAGAAATGTTGTTTCAAACAAATCAGTAAAATTCGTAACTAGCAAACAGACCTGCACATAAACAAGGACACAGAACATCATCTACTGAGCCACAGCAGCAGAAACTATGTGAACCCTCACACCAAGTCTTTCTTTTTGTACTTAACCAAGTGCATAAAGTTATTGGAACAAAAGTATTAAAAGTGTTACTAATGAATCAGCAAGTCACACAGTGGTGCTTTGAGGCAGCTAAATATATTTGTCAGCATTCTAATATACTCACGACAGTGGCTGGTAAGAGAGGCTAACATGGTGATGCTTAGCAGATATAATGTGTATGATCGCTGCTGGGTACTCTATGTAATAAATGTAGAAATAGAAGTGTAAAAGGAAGGCATCACTAAGATGTTAAGTAATTACAAATCCTGTCCATTTAATACACTTTGTTTTTAGCTAAAGCCCAAAAAGAACAAGACCAACTAATCTGAGAAACAGAAATGTCAGTAAACCCTTCGATAGTGAGATTTCTTTTGTTTGTTTGTAAAATATCATGTATGTGTAGATTTGATGACAGATTTGAGCTTCCTGTACATGTTGTACTGAGCTGTAGATAGATGCCAGAGTTTAGTACCAGAACAATGAAAAAATGAAGACAACCTTGGTGAGTTTTCTGGATATGGATGGAACCGAGCTATGGTGATTTAAGTACCCATGCTGTGTCCTACCTTTTTACATGCTGTAGCTTCTCTGTGCTCACAAAGTAATCTTTTTTTTACTTTGTTCAAATCAGGATTGTTTCAGTTTCTAACAACATCTGCTGTTTGATTGTTTGTCTTAAAATATGGAAAGTAAAAACCAGGAGCATGCTTCATTTTTTTCTCAGAAAGATCACTGAGAAATGCTGAATGAGAGACTGGATTGAGTTAGAGATTAGTGGAACAGGGTCTAGTCTGGATGTGACAGCAGGACTTTGGTTCATTAATAGTGAATGTATTCACATTTTGCTGTGGCTCTTGGGATTGACAGTTTTCACTGAGTGGATAATAGCAGCAATATCAAATCAAAATCAAATTTTATTTGTATAGCGCCAAATCACAACAAAAGTCATCTCAGGACACTTTACAAAGTAAGGTCTAGACCTTACTGTTATCAATATTATTACATAGGGAAAACCCAACAAATCCCCCTTGAGCAAGCACTTGGCGACAGTGGGGAGGAAAAACTCCCTTTAACGGAAGAAACCTCCGACAGACCCCGGCTCTTGGTGGGCGGGTACAGGGAGAGAGAGAGGACACACTACGGGAGAGAGGAGACACACAGTTAGTGATGTGTAATGGTGGCATATAGAAGCATAGGGAGAGAGAGGAGAGGAGAGCAGGAGGGGAGGGGAAAGAAACTCAGAGCATCATGGGGCCCCCCAGCAGCCTAGGCCTATAGCAGCATAACTAAGGGAAGGCTCAGGGTCACCTGATATGTTCATTTAACCAGTCAGCAGCCAGACAGAATCCCAAATGAGCTTTGAATGTGCATACATGATGGCTAATCAATGATTACCATTGTTTATCCTGGAAACTTCAGCTTTATTTTTATTTTAAGTGATTTCATTTGATTATTTAAGTTTTATTTTGAATAAAACAGAGTTTACAAGAGTGAGTTTGTTCCAGTGTTTGCATCATCTGTATTCATGCCAGGTCAGTTCCACTACAGTCTACATTAAAGGTTTTTTTAGATTAAAGGTAAATTTAGATGCATAACGATGATGATGAGCAACCTGCAAAGTAGATAAAGTTACTCAGATTCAGTTAAGTTTAGCTTGACTTCAGTAGCATTTGATGTAATATAGCATCTTTTCAAGCTGTATGGCTTTAGCTACTGTACATTCAATTACATATATATAGAGAATGTGAAGGTATGTCACGCCATGTTGAATGTTGAGATGGGGTTGCCATTTTGGCACTGTGTTTACCTGCTTACATTCTTGTTCTGTTTGGCTTAAAAGT